ATTAATAGAGTCTTCCGTATACATGAGATAAAGATAAATAAACTTGTATTAAAAGCAATAGTCCGAATTCGTTTTTCACGACGTGTCGATCGTCAGTAATGTGCTAATACCGAAAGGCGGAAATGGTGGAACTTTTCAGCGAGAAATAAGATATCTTGCTTTAACCCGTTGCGGTCCGCGCTGTATTCGCAATTTCGTCCCAGCCGGTCCGCACAGATTTCACCAATCGCTCATCCGCTTGGTACCGTTTACTTTGGAAAACATTTATGATGCTACATCACAGCTCTTATCTTATCTCTTTTAGCGTACGATGAAGACTCTGTCAACGTCGACTCTGTCGCGTCATAGGACGCGTTGGAACGAAACGCGGTGTCGAGTGTCGCTCGACATAGGACTTGCTGGAACGAAACGCTGTGTCGAGTGACGCTCGACATAAGATCGCAACGGGTTAAAGCACTACAGTCTTATTCCCATACCGATTTTCGTGGGGATACTACTTTCGTTTTGGTGCACTCTCGCGCTCCGATTCTTCTTAAAACTTGATATTAAAGAACGAATGTAACGTCCTCCCGTAACTGGAGATCCAATAAAACGGGATTCTTCAAAGTTACAAATTTCACGCTTAACTCGCTGCCCCGTCCCTGTCCGCATGACAATATTAAACTTAATAATACTTCATTCACAATATTTGAAATAATACGATTTATATTAATTAAACTAAACCGATGGCGCGCGAATTTAATGCGTTTATTGATTTATCATATATTCGTCGCTGTGCGTTATTCCATTTTGACGTCGGCCTCTGTTTATATTATAATACATAAATAAATAATGTTATTATTAATTACATTTCTATAATTAGATATATGATGACGATGTGTGTGTATATGCATGCAAGATTATTGCTCGTCGTCTCAATATATATATTCCCCGGAAAAAATATGCAAGAACTTAACATGCTTAACACACGCGCATACGCACACATATGTACACGTCTACGCACGCACGCGTACGTTGTTGCAAAAAAAAACAATCCGGTAGAAACAAAAATTAAATATTTTCGACAGCGAGAAATTTGGCGTGACGGCTGAGGGAAAATATAATCCAATCAATTACCGCCGAAACGTCAATATCTTCCTTTATACACGCTACACACGCGCGCATTCAAATGCAAAATTTAATTTTTTTATTTAAATCGAAACATGTTTCAATAGTTTATTATCTATCGCGACAAATTACCGTGCGCTAAAAGGGAGAACGAAATCAAATAGGTGGAAGGGATCGGAAGGGGATGACGGGGAGAGGAGGCGAAAGAATGAACGACGAGAATGCGAGCGAACGCGGAGAGTGCGATGAATGAAATATAATTTATTCAATTAGTACTAATAAATGGTATTTATCACTGGCCGGTGGTTACGTGAGAATAAAATTTGCACGTCGCTTGAAGCTTTGTGCCGAAGAAGCGCAACCCTATATAGAACATTGCTACAACCAATAACGTTGTTAGGTAACCACAGATTTAATTAGATACCTAAATAGGAAATTTTGAATTTGCTTGAAAATCGCACGTTGTAAATTACAGAGGAAAATTACGAAGGAACACCGTTCAAACTTTTGTGCTATTTATACCGAGTTGATCACAGAATACGTGAATGAAATAGAAAAAGAGAGAGAGAGGGAAGGGGAGAAAGGAAGAAAGAAATAGAGAAACTCGGACACCCTCTATATACTGAAAATCAATTGCTACGGTATCGCTTCGCTCGCCTTTCCATTATTCAGTTTTCATATCACGTTACGTAGAATCGATTGCACTACATTTTCTGCAAATTGACAGAAAGATTTTATCGAAAGGAGAGAATATTTGCCATTTTTATTCGCATGCACACTACGATTGCCATTAAATCACTTTTGTATAATTAGACCGACCTGTTTCCCGAGACGGGGAAACATCATTAGGTGAGAATTTATGCTGATTTTATATGAAACAGCACGAGATAAAACATGCAGACTTGAGAATGCGCGAAGCACTTATGATGCAGCGCTTTTAAATTATTTGCGGTAACGAGATGGTGAATATTTTATTTACCCGTGTCGTCCTAATGAAATAGATTCGGCGTTGCGATAAAATATTCTGCTGGTTTCCACCGACAACGTAGTCGCGTTGTGCATTGTATTATTCGTTCGCAGGAGATGCACAGTTTAATTAATTGCTGCTGCATTCGCAGTGAATGGAATTATGCCTACACACGAACTTAACCGCGCGGTGACAAGAAAAATATCTGGCAATATCGCTTACATCAAGCTTACGTTAACGCAAAAAACGACAATTTGGCGTTATACGCCAAATTAATATTTTGTCAATTAATAATTATTTTCTACGAAACTAAAAATACACTTTGAGACAAATTGTTTTGTTTTGGATAAGGTTGTTTATACAGGGTGTCCCGAACTAATCTTGGGTCCCGTGGTGTGCAAGTAAAGCGAGTGAAACTGAGTCGGAAAGTCCTACACCATTTTGAAAGTAACACGCAAAATTTCGAGTTATCAATGATTGAAAATGGTCATTTAGAGGTCATTTTAGAGGTTTCTTTAATTAATAACACAAAAATGTGCATGTTATTTGCAAAATGATACAGGACTTTTTTGTTCAGAGTGGCCTCATCTACAAATATGTGGCAATTTTTGCACTTAACGACAGACATCAGTATATTAAACTTTGAACCTTGAACTTCGTCATTAGGTACAATAATTGTCATATACTTGTAGATTAGACTATTCGGAATAAAAAAGTCTCTCACCATTTTGCAAATAACACGGAAATTGTTGAGTTATTAATTAAAGAAGCCTGTATACGTTTTCAATTGATAACTCGAAATTTTGCGTGTTATTTGCAAAATGGTTTAAAATTTTTCTGTTCATTTTCACCCGTTCTATTTGCACACTACGGGAACCGATATTAGTTTGAAACACTCTGTATAATAGATTTACATGAAAAACTCAGAGTTTTTGTAATTTTATACGTTACTAAATTTGCAAATGATTATAGGTACGGACAAAAGACAAAGGGCTTCCTGAGTTTTCAGTATTAATATACGCGATAAATCAATAAACATATCGGTTTTATGAAAATTAGCGGACATAAATTATTCGTACCACATTTGACACTGCGAGCTTTATCATGCAGAAGCATATCTGTAATATCCTTCGTAAACAATCGAATGTCATTAATAAAAATTTCAGGTGGTTAATCGATTTTGCATGGCGTTGCTGACTACTGTCGTGGAATTAAAAGTCCGTTAATATTATTTTATTATTAGTAGCTTCGTTTCTTATTATCCAAACTGCCCACAGACACTTTTTTATCGAATAATAAATATTAAATCTATCACGAAAATAAAAGAAAACCTGTTACATATCTATAAGCACATAATATTCCTATAATATTATATGAATATTATTCAATATTAAAATAATATTCTTATAATATTCTAAGAATGGTCTATCGGTGTTATATGTCCATTTTACATAATATTCTTGGCATATTATTAAAATGTTCTTAGAATATTAGAAAAATAATAATAATATCGAAAAACATATAAAAATAATATACACGGTGACCCATTTTAATCGATAAACGGAAATATCTCCGAAACTACGCAACCTACGAAAAAAATGTTCGGACAAAAGTTGTCGAGGACAGTGGGGGTCATTGGTTATTTACATTTTTATAAACACATTTATGCGCGTCGAAGAGCGATGTAAACAAATGAACGTTGTTATTTACCTATTGCGAGTTACCAACTTTTTTTTTCACTCATTTATTCGAAATTGAATAAGGAATCGAAATATGTAAAAATTATTGTCGTAATTGATTGAGAAATACATGTAATTTCTAATTGTTTATAACTTTTATGAATTTGTTTAAACAAATTACATGTTGCGTGAATTCTAAAAATATGTTCTTAAAGGGCTATTCTTTCCGACTTACTTATAAAATTTCATAAAGATTCGTTGAGCCAATCAGGAAAAAATAATTTTTTTATAAAATATGGGGAAAAAATGATATTGTTAATAACTTAAAAAAAAATCGAATTTTCAAAAAAAGAAAAAATACGTGTCTTTCATTTTTAAAAGTACTATCGAGGTACGTACATTATTTTTTAATATTTCAATCATCGATTTTTAGGTGGCCCGCTTTAAGAATTTTGTCTCATAGGGAAATTCCGGTTTCATATTTCTACACCTGGTAAATGTGAATCTTTGTCGACTCCATATTAGATTAGATTATTTAAAAACCCCTTCGTCTCTCGTTCTGTCGCAGTACAAGCGCTACGTACAAATTGATAGAATCGTTCAACTAATCTCAACAAACGCATCGTAAACGAGTGTTTCTTAATAGCGGTGGCCGAATTTTTTATCGTACGAGCGGGGTCGCGCAGCGGTACTTTCAAGTACATTCGATATCGGGAAAGCCGCTCGCTGCACTTCGGTCGTCTCTTCGATCTCGCCGGATCGTCAGACCCGCGACATATCCATCTCGCGTACTCCACCGTACTCCCGATACGAATCGGAGCGCAAAGACCGGTCAAAGGTGTCCGTCGTCTCGGATATCGTCCGCCAGGGGCGCGGGTGTCGCGCGCGCGCCTCGCTCGCGTCCAACGCTCAGTCTGCCGTAGTCAGTAGCGCGCGGAAGTCGCGTCGTTGCTCGCGCGTGGCTGCGTTAGCATCTTCGTTAAACACAACCGTGCACGAGTTCGAGGATCCGTCATCGAGGATCCCACCGTTTCCTGGAATTCGCTGTTTCTCTTAGTTCGCGCCACAAGCAGCGTTTCGAGCGTGGTATTTCAGCGCGCACGAGTCATCGTTCGAGGAACGCCATCGCGCGAGACAACGTTCCGAGAAGGATCTCGCGCGTCGCTCCGTGCTCTACAGGCGTATGTTCTGTCCGAGTATCCTCCCGTGTCCTCGCTCGATTATTGGCCTGCTCGCATACGCGCGAGGATCTCTCTTTCCAGTTCCTTACTGTGCGTGTGTTGTGTGTGAGTGCCGGTTGCGCGTCGAATGACGTGAAGTTCGCCGGGTTCGAAAGACGCGGGCCCGGAGCGCGTTCGATCAAGTTGGTGTGCCGGTTCTCGGAAGCGAGAGTCTCCGGAATATCGCGCGGTGCATCTCAGCTGTGCGTGCGGCGTCCTTTGTGCTGCGCTGTTGGAGCGAAGAGGAGGGAGGAGGAGAAGTAAGGAGCTGTTGTTGCCTCGATTAACGGATACCAGAGGACCGCCGGACGACGCTAACCTTGCACGCTCGGTGAGTTGCTGATTTTCCTTTTCGTCCCTCTCTCTCGGCGTCATGCCGCGTCCCACCACATATATACGTTGCTGAGGGTGTGTGCGTGCGTGAATACACGCTCTTTCCTCCTCGGATACACACACACACACACACACACAAGGAATAGTGCTTACCTTACTTTTGTCCGTGGCACACGGTGGGAGAGGCGGTCTCGTCGCGCATATCTCGGCGTTTCTTCAGGTAACTCGGTCTCACCCGGAATGGAATCTCGTCCGGCTCGAACCTCGTGCACACGATCTTTCTCGAGGCCGTCTCTCGTTGTCTTCTCGACTCTTCCACGGCTTCGGGCGTTCCTTTCAGCTTGACCATGCGAGACGATCGTGTGGTCTATACCGTGTGTCCTCGTGCACGAATCTCATTTAGTCGAATCAATTAAAGATTCTTTTGGATAGGGGCTAATTTTTCGGTTAAAAGAACCGAGGTTTAGGTTTCCCCCGGACCGAAAGTTCGCCTCTTTGAAACCTCCGAAAGCTCACACTCGGGGAAATGTTTCGTTGGTCCGGCTAGAATTCGAAATATCACTGATAAAATGTTTCGCTTGAGCGTTTGTTCTGCTAGAAAATTGTCCGTGGCACGTATGATTGGCAGCAGCAGCATTCTAACGATAATTGCCGACTACTTTGCAGATTATTTCGAGTTGTTTATTCTGAAGTATTCGCTAGCACATTTATCCGTCTTAGCTAATTTCTCATATCTAGATAAATTTTTCTGTGACTGCAAAACCTTTTTTTTTTCAGTGCAGAAAACCAAACCTTCGGTTTAGACAAACTTTGGTTATTATAAGCAAAAAATTTGTTCGCCCATATTCAAACAAGAATTTAGTTGATTCGACTGAATGGGTTTCTCAGTGCACTGCTAAGGGTCGAATTTTGAAATTCGTCTGTTTTATGTATAGAAACGTATTCGATAAATAAGAGAAGATGATGGGACGTGTTGCAACACAGATACTTGAAGCGCCATGGCGTGATTTTATATTTTCAGTAAAAAATATTAGAATTTAATTTCGCAATATATTAAATACTTACAGTGACAATTTGTTGAATGTGTCGATTTATGTTAATAATGTGACTGCGTTAGAGATATTTAATGTTGTGTGTGTGTGGTGATAATACGCATATTCATAGGCGATATACAAAAGTCTATATATCGCCGTTGGTTGTCCATATATGAATAACAACGGTCATTGAATATCTATAAACTTCGCATCGTATCTGGAATATCAGCGAACATCTAAATTTTATTTTAACAAATATCAATCAGTATTCAAACGATCACGTATGTACAATGACATTGATGTCGTATAAATTCGTTATAAGTTAATATTTTCTACGAAGCTTGAGATACATTTATCAAGAATTTTGTTTTGGGTAAAATTATTTTTCACATAGTAAGGCTAAATACGTAAAGCGAGGTCTACAATAGGAATTTAAGGCGTAGGACTTAAGAAATTGACCAGTCACAGTCGAATTATGGAAGATAGGTCAATTACGATTGGTCAATTTCTTAAATTTTACGCCTTAAATTCTCATTGTAGACCCCGCTTAAGTGGAGTTTTTGTTTACGATCCTGCCTGTATTTTGCTGTCTTGTTATATTGAACGTTGAAATTTGTTGGGACGCACATCAATGTGTTTTTGTACACCATACTTTGTGCGACGTAATTGCCGATATATATTTCATATATTAAAAAGAAGGTATTTAATTAATTATTTATTTATTTATTTATTTATTTATTTCTACATTTACATGTATAAGGTATTTAAATATGAGATACGATATCTGAAAGATTTAAAATATGACAGTGTTTAAATATGAAATACGATATTCCGCATGTTCTTATCTTTGATAAATTACAAAACAACGTTCAATTGAATTGCGTCATAATTGCTTCAATAATATCATAGATTCGACGTGTGATTTTTTCGGACGGCTCGAGAATCCGTATATTCCAGAATATACAGCTCCTTCCTGTAATACGATACTGGAACAAAATTATAGAGAATAATGTATTTTGAAATATATATTGGGAGAGAAATTCGCGATTCAAAACGGGGAGGGAGTATCAGAGAGATAAATATTTCTCGCGAAAAGAAGCTCGGCGAAACACATTTCCAATATTTACTTCCCCCCCCCCCCCCC